GATCAGAATGTGCAAGTTGAGTCCTAGGAAGGAAGGGGGAGCAAAGACACCTCTCTATTCCTTACTTTGACAGCACTCAAAGGTGTGAGTGCATTTGCCTAGAGCGCTGGGTGGGTGCCTGGGCCCTGATCCAGCAGGGATCTAGTGTTGCTGGTCTTGTGCAGGGAACACAGTGATCTCCAAGGAGCCAGAGGCTTTGGGCTTCAGTGCTGACCTTGCAAGAGGAGCAGTGGATGTTCTCATTCGTTTGGGGTTTCCCGTATGCAGCTTTAGCCCTGGATGACTCTGAACACAGTGGATTCACCTTGCAGGTCTCTGAACGTTGATATGGAGTGGCTGTATGGGGCGAGTGAAAGCAGCAACATGGAAGTGGATATCGGTTACCTGCCTCAGGTCTGTAGTCACTCTCAGTCCTCTGTGTGCATACAGCATCTCAGCAGGGATTTATGCTGCCATGCCCCTGAGCTGTATAACCTCAGTTATCCCCGTTCTTCAGAGCTTTCTCTTGAACATTTCAATATAACAATATAATCTCTCTTGATCTGTGTATGTCCTCTGCAGTTGTGTGGCTCCCTATTGCCAGTTCTTGTGATATTTTATTTTTCTCTCTGTGTGGGTTGAAGCCTAAGCTCCTGGAGTCATGTGACATTTTCCATTTTTAAAAAGTTGTCTGACAGGCGGGGGGAAGATTAGGAGCTGAACCCAGGCCCTGAGCCCGGAGGGGTTTATGAACAACAGTGTGTCTGAATTTAGAAACTGCATGAGGTTATTCTTCTATTTTGTGGTAATCCTAGCTCTTGGGGCAGGAAACATAAGTCAGGATTTTGAATGCCTGAATTTAACAGTCCCATTTTCTCCTAAACTAGATCCGTGTTTCTTTTTAATTGCCAAAAGTCAGGAAAAGAGACTTTACAAAATAATTTCAGATGTACCAGAACAGTGAACTACAGGGAAGCTCCTGGACAGCTTGCACCCTCTTGTGGCTAGTCACGGGCTGTGTAAGGGCCGTGCTGGTGATACGAGCAAGAGCTTCAAACCAGCCCTGCAGGTCCCAGTGATTTTAAGGGTCTGGTGTCCCACAGTCAAAAATCTCCACTGGGAAGGTGGGAACACGGAGTGAACAAGTCTCATGCATTTCCAATCTAGCCAGCACAGTCAGACAATAACTGAAGGGAATGAAGTTGCTTTCCTGCTATTCCCCAGTAAAACACATCTGCAACTGGTAAAGTGCAGCTCCAGGAGACAACAGATCAAGCTGTATCTTCATTAGAAGCTGCACAGTCTTATTTTCCATCTTTATCCTATCCTGAAGTAAAGAAAAAAACAGGAGTGGGATGCCAGCAATGTCCAACTCAGCCTGTTCTCCTGCAGATGGAGCTGGAATCGACAGGGCCTTCAATCCCCTCTGTGATCCATGACGAGAACGGAAATGTGATTGACAGCAGGGATCCCTCAGGAGAGCCGATTCAGTTTGTGTTTGAAGAGATAACCTGGCAGCAGGAAATCCCCTGGGAAGAGGCAGCCCAGAAGCTGGAAGTGGCCATGTATCCATTTAAGAAGGTGAGGAAGGGGCCGGGCTCTTCCTTGGCACGTTTATTTGGGGCAGGTCATCTTCACTGAGATGTCCAGTCACCTGGTTTGAGGACCAGCAGAAACCAGAGGCCACAACCTGATCAGCATTCAGTGTGAGGGTCTCCCAGCTCAGCATGTGTCTCCCAGGAGCTGTGTGTGTGGCTTGATGGACTTCCAGTTTCCAGATGAGGGAGTACAGCACCCCTGAAAGGCCGTTTGGGGTTGCACAGCAGCAAGAGGCAGGAGCAAAGCGTAGATGTCTTGTGTCCCAGGCTTGTATTGTAAATGTAGGCTCATCCTTCCTGCCTCTTATCAGTAGCTGCCGACGCGATTTCTGAGCGAAGCAGGTAATCGTGCTGCTTACAAATGGTTTTCCTCTGGCGTTACTTTTGCAATGTTCAGCTACCTTTGGACCAAGCTTTCCTTATCAGCAGAAAACACACAATCCGCCTGAGCCTCTGCATCCCGCAGCGAGACACAAATTTATAGCGTTGGGTGACCCAAACTATATAACATGCCAGTAGCCTGTGGAGCAGATGGCTACTGCCTGTCACTGCTTCCTTGGCTGAAGGGACGCGTTTCAATGGCTGCCTCCTTGTGCCTCAGCTTACAAATGTTCCTTTGAGCTGCCAAGATGTTAATAAAGTTCCATTCGTTTGAGCGATTGGAACAATCTCTTTGCAGGGTCCCTCACAGCCAGTTTTTAGGCTGTTTCAGTGAGGTTTTGTAATAAATATCTCAAGGCCAGATTTCCCAGGCTGCTGAGGTGTGTTTGCAGGCAGCCTGCCCGCAGTTGGGCAGATGCTCTCTGCAGTGTGTAAAGATGGGGCTCTGCAGGTGCCAGTAACAGCCCACATGCTGTGAGGGGCTTGTTACAATCTCACCAGGAGATGAAGTTGTCCCTGGGGAGAGCACCACAGTTGTCGTTTGCTTTAATCTGCAGGATCTACTGCAGATTAAACTCTGTGTGTGTCACCTGTGGGCTGTGGCAGGTCTGGTTCCTTCAGACCCTGCTTGTATTTGAGATGGGCTGGTCTCTGTCTCTCTCTCAAGCCATCTCTCTGCCTCTAGGTCTCCTATCTTCCCTTCACACAAGCTTTTGAGAGAGCAAAAGCAGAAAAGAAGCTGGTGCACTCGATCTTGCTGTGGGGTGCCCTGGACGACCAGTCCTGCTGAGGTGAGGACGTTCCCAGCATGGCTGGAGGAATGATGTGCCTCATTCAGGCTCTGAGAAGAGCTGGGGGTCGGGGAGCTGGTCACGAGCCAGCGGTAAATGTTGTGTTACTCGTTTTGGCACTGAAGTTGCTGAACAGAAAAGGGCTGGAAGTGGGGAATTAGTGATCAGAGCTTAGGTCCCCACTGGGACCAGATCTATTTGAGACAAACCCTAGGTCAACTCACTAATTTGAGTGCCTTTGTCAAGCTGGAGGCATGGGTCTGGTCTTTCTCTTTTCTCTTCCCCTCTCAGTCTGCTTGGGTACAGGCAGCACCTGTAGGATGAAGGGGACACTGCTCTCTGCTTTGTCCCTGACGCCTGCACAGGAGAAGCCAGAGCCAGATGTGGGCTTGTCCAGATATGCAGCTGTTTCCTCCCCCAGATGCCTAAGAACTTGCATGCCACATTGAGCAGGAGTGATGGGTGGGAGAGGGACAGATGTCTGTAGTCCTCTCTGCCCTTAAAAACTCCCCAGCATGTATGGAGTCTGCTCAGCGTGAACAGCAAGAGGCGCTCAGGCTGGATCCGCAGGGCCTGATCCATTCCTACCTAAATACACCACACCAGTCAGCCTCCATGGCAAGCTTGTCTTGGTCCTTCTGTGGCCTTGTAAGTGGCTGGGGTCTGCTCTGGTGAGTCTTCTCTGCCAGCAGCACACATGGGAAACAATAAGCTGTGGAAAACTGCTAACAAAGGAGAAAAAAGACAATGGGCCAGGCCAGGGGGAGCCTGAGCCAGCTGCCCCAACAATCAGAGCAGTGGCATCAAACATGGCAACAGTCAGCTCAGGAAACAGCAAACCCCTGTCTGCCTCTCTTCCTCTGCCAGGTTCGGGGCGAACTCTCCGGGAGACTGTCCTGGAAAGTTCGCCCATCCTCACACTGCTAAACGAGAGCTTCATTAGCAGCTGGTCGCTGGTGAAGGAGCTGGAAGAGCTGCAGGTGAGTGTTACAGCCACATCTGCTGCCTTTGCATTCGGTGCTGGTGAATGCAGGCGGTGCCAGCAGAAGGGGGGAGCTCACACCTGTGCCAGTGGGGGATTTCGGTTCCAAGCCCTCTGTGTCCTAGCAATTGCAGGGGCCAAGTAAACACCGGATGGAGGCAGGATAAGAAAATGGCACAATCATAGAATCATAGAATGTTTTGGGTTGGAAGGGACCCCTAGAGGTCATCTAGTCCAACCCCCTTTATTTTTTTTTTAATTATTATTATTATTTTTCCATTTATTAGTTTAATAAGTCTACCCCCCTGACCCCCTTTGCTCTGCCATGCTGCCAATTTTAAAAGCTAAACCCGATGCTTCACTGTGAGGTAGCCCTGCCCAAGGCCATTTGTGCCATCAACAAACTGACTTCTCTGTAACCCAGGGAGCAACCAAATACTGTCTGAACCTTGAGTCTCCTGATTGCACCTTTCCCTGCCTATGAGCCTGTCTCTGGGCCTATGCTGTCAGCTGGGATCAGTCACAGAGCTGGAGACTCTGGGCTAAGCTGGGATCAGACAGTTGGTGTGGCTGGGAACTGCCAGTCAAGGGGTGATTTTATTGTCTGGGGAGAAAATATACAGCTGGAATGTAAGAGGGAGACTGACTGAAAGGGGATAGTAAAGCAGATCGTGAGAATGGAGCCAGTTACCACCACACTGCAAAGCAGCTCTTCCTCCTGTGTTGGGTGTACTCCTCCTGCGCCGTTCTGCTAGTTTTGGTGCGTGCAAATGTGTTTCTTTGGGGTCTCCTTACAGACCAACAGAGAGAACGAGTTCTACAGCAAGCTGGCTGACCTGCACCTGGAGAAATACAACTTTCCCGTGGAGATGATCATCTGCCTCCCCAACGGCACGGTGGTATGTTCATTACCCCTTCACTGGGCTTGGCTCTTCCCATTAGAACGTTGTTCTCTTCAGGGTCATCTGCAGACCCCGAAGCGAGTGTCTGTTCCCCCAGCCATTCCCTGGCTCCTTGAGCCTTTGTGGGGCCATAGTCCCTCACAGTGCTGTGCTCACAGGAATGCTGCGGCAGACAGACAGCGGCTGTACCAAGAAATCTGAAACAAATGTCTTTTATTCAGAGACGGAACAACAGCAGCTCTGGGCAGGGGGGTGGGGAGGAAACAATCAGACTTGAACCAAATGTCTGCCTGTGATTCCTCATTATCCCTGCTTGGAGTCAGTGACCTTTGGGAAGCCATCGTAGCTTGTTTCCTGCACCCATTGTCCCTTGTGCTCATGCTTTGGGGAAAACCTCTCCTTATCAGCACCTTCTAGCGCATTTGTCTTTCTTTTGATTCCCCAAGTTTGTCACAGCAGATCAGCCATTAGCAAGTCTGCATGTTTTGGCTCTGCTGTGCTCCCCAGCTGCCCCCCACTTTGGATTTGAAGAACAACTGTTCCTGACAGCCAACAGTGCAGCGCTTTGCTGTGTGGCAGTGGCTGGGCTGGCTATAGAGGAGGATCCTGCCAGGCCTAATCTGCTTGTGCCCCACACTTGCCAGATATTAGCTCGTAATGCGGGCAGTGACTCCGTGCTGTCTCTTCAGTGGCTCCCCTCCAGATGAGGCTGTGGGCTGGTGGGTGGCTCCAGCTCCGCCTGTCGAGGCTTTTGTGTGCCATGGCCACGTGTCCCCCTTTCCCACCTCCATGGGGGAACGGAAAGGCATTTGAAGGTTCTGCAGCTATGCTGGGCTGAGAGCACACGCTCCAGCAGTCCGTGTGGTCGGGCTGCCGTCTCCCCAGCCCTTGCTCAGAGCTAGGTTTTACGCCTGTGTGGTTCTTCCCGAATCGCCCTCATCTTCTTAACCTAAGTGAGGGGTGAGTGCTCTTGGGGGAAGAAACAGACCGTTGTCTTTTACACGTCTTTCTCTGTAAAATGCGAACCTGAACCCTGGATGCTGAATTAGCATTTGACAAGTATTAGGGATTCTTTGAGGGCTGTTACAGTCTTGTAACCTGTGTCCTGGCTAGAGGCCAAGGCAGTGGTTGGGGAATTGTTCTGGCCTTTAACATCTCCTCTCCTCGTCTGTTTGCTTTCCCAGATTCACCATATCAATGCCAACTACTTCCTGGACATTACTTCAATGAAGCCCGAAGATGTTGAAAGTAGCATCTTCAGTTTCTCAACCAATTTTGAAGACCCTTCTACTGCAACTTACCTCCAGTTTTTGAAGGAAGGACTGCAAAGAGCAAAACCATACATGCAGACCTAAAAACGAAGCCACCTGAATGCCCCACAGAGACGGCCAAAGCCTTCAGAGATCTATTTTGGTTACAGCAATTCTTCCTCACCTTCATGGCAGCCGTTGATGTTAAGATGCAGACAGTCCCAGGAGTGGGGCTTTGCTCTGGGTGCTGGTTGGAGGCTGTTTCAAGTGATACCAGTTTACGTAACCTGCCCTTTTGAGTTCAGGCAAATTTTTACAGGAATGAAAATACTTGAATCTATAAACATTCTTGGTGCCACTCACCCTCATGTTTTTCCAGCTCCTGTTCAGACTCTGTGGTGAAACTCGTGGAACAGCTATACCAAGCGTCACCCGGAAACCCCTCATCTCAAGGACTGGACTGTGCGTTGACTCCCGGAAAACAGCATTACCGTTACGACCGAACACTCGTGGTGAGCGCCTGTGCCCAGTGGGCAAAGGTGCAGAATCCAGCACGGGTGGGAAGCTCCTTCCTGGTAGCCGGTGTCCTCCACACCTCGCCAGCGGCAGCTCTGAGCTGTAAGCTGCCCTGTGGCTTGGATGCCAGCCCTTCACGATGGCATTTATTGACAGCAGTGGCGTAGCGGGGCTGTAGCTGTGTTGAGAAGGCATAGACATGAAGTGGGAGGTTCAAACTGGAGGCTCAAGCTCTGGGGTAGCCCCCTCCCAGCACCCCGTGTGATGTGGTGGGAGAGCGGTCTCACTTTTTCAGGTTCTTTGCATCTGAGGGAGGCGCTGAGGTTGACACAGTGAAATTAGGAATGGAGATGAGGGCGTTAGAGGTATGAGCTCAGCTCAGAGATGTCAGGCATGGATTGACTTGGGTGGGGGTTGGGGGCCAGAGTCCCTGTTAGTTCCACCAGCGCAGGACATGCACACTGGGCTACGGGACACGGTACTGAGCCGTGCCCCCACCCCATTCAGCCCAGGGCCCCACCAGCTTCCAGAGCTTTGTTCTCCCAGTGTCTCCTCGGAGCTGGTGACATGCTCTGTCCTGGTTTGCTTTGAGCTTCCAAGTCACTGAATGGTGAACCGTGATGAAGTTCCCTTTGGGAATGGGAGGTTCAGCATGGCCCCGAGAGCCGTAACTGGTTGAGAACAGAGCAGTTTTAAAAGCCAGCAGTACTAAAATTTTAAGGAGATTTTTTCCAAAGAAATTGTTTGGACAGAACACCATCGTCCCTTACCTGTAACCACCCTGAGCAGTTGGTCCTACTCTGCGCCAGTGCCTGGCTACAGAGTGAGCATAATTTGGAGAAGGAAAAGGTTAATCGGAACGGGTTTTAAAGCGTATTCCTGTAGGTAGGTGAGGAGACAAAGCATCTTCAATAGCTGTGGCTGTTGATGCTTTCTCTGCTCTCTGAAGCACAATTCTGTCGGACCAAATCAAACGGGGAAAAAAAGCCATGGTTTTTGGAAGGGGGTTTTTTCACTCCTGGGCTCCAGGGCCTGGGAGGAACCCGGGGGTCGTGATTACAGCGGCCCGGCCCTGCCCTAGCCCTCCTGTCTGTATCTGTGGCTGCAGAGGGAGCTGAGACAGACTCTGGAGTGAACCAGCATAGCTTCACTAATTGCTCTAGTGAGATTAATTACCCCTGGGATGTTTCTCAGTATCAGCTTTATAACTATGCATTAGCTCTGCACTTTTCTCACACTCCTAGGGGCCTGCAGTAATGAGAGGCCTGGATCTGGCAGCGCTTTCAGCTGCGGAAAGTGCCAAAGCCTCCCGGCTGGAGGGGGCAGCGACTGAGCAGGCAGGGGTTGCTTTTGGCTTTCAAGGCTTGGAAAAAAAAAAAAACACGGGGGCCAGCAGCGGTTCTGCAGGGCCAGGGGGGCCCCTCTCCCTTGTGCCGGGGTTGGGAGGTGCAAGGGACGGCAGCACTCCCTCCAGCCCGCAGATGCGGAGCTCGCTGGCAGTGCCGGTGCCTCCGATAGCCCCTGAACCTGCGGGGAGCCCGGGCTCACACGAAGCCTTCGGGATCCCTGAAAATACCTTGGATTTTTGTCGGGATCCCTGAAAATACCTTGGATTTTTGTCTCGTGAACCTCTGGGCTCTTGCAGCGCTGCCTGGAGCCGCCTCGGAGCGCTCCGGGGCTGGCTGAGCTCGGG